CTAAATCAACCAGATCATCGTTGTACTTCTCTGTCATCTCGGTTTTATCGATGTCTTTTATACTCTGGTCTTCTACGAACACTGTATCTCTACTTTTTACAGGCTTTTTCTGCACTGGGTCATAGAACATGTATCCAAACTCATCAAGGCCATAACCGACGAACACACATGGTCTTGTTTTCATGTCGAGCTTCGACCGCTCATCTTTCAGAATATGAACAAAGGCCTTGCATCCATAAACACGCAAGTGATTGTACGAAACTTCTTTTTCCAACCACATCCTGTCTAGAACCTCAAATTTCAATGGAACACACGGAGTAAGATTCAAAACATGCACCACTGTACTCAAGGCTTCACCACAGAAGGACCTCGGTAACTGTGACTGGGAAAACAAACATCTCACCTTCTAAAATAGTGTTTGGTTTACTCTCTCAGCTAACCCGAGGAGTCCTCGGAGGTGTCTTTTGGTGTCGAATACCCCGCTGCCTACAATACTCATCAAATGGGTCGTATTATTCACCTTCATTATCTGTTCGGATGCACTTATTCTTCACACCTGTTTCTCGTTCCACACGAGCATGAAACTTCTTGAAGACATCTACAACTTGATCTTTTGACTTCAACATATACACCCGATTCTTCCTTAAATGATCATCGATGAAAGTCACAAAGTACAAGGAACCACCAAGTGTTCTCATTTTTATTGGGCCACATACATCAGAGTGGACCATATCTGAAATATCCATTTTGCGTGGGTGGGGAACTCTCTTAAAGGCAAATTTTGTTTGCTTCCCTGCCAAGCAATGAGCACACTTCTTCAGAAAACCCTTTCTCACACCTGGAAAGAGATTCTTCTTGGCCAACACTGTCAAGCCCTTCTCACTCATGTGGCCACGTCGGTTGTGCCAAAGTTTTACAATGTGTTCATCATCCACTGCATCGATCAAAGGATCCACAATCTTTACGCTCATCACGTACAATGAGGAACACTTCTGTCCTCTCACCATCATCAAGGATCCCTTCGTAAGTTTCCACTTTCCGTCTCGGAAAGTGTTACAAAATCCTTCACCATCGAGCTTGCCGGTAGATATCAAATTCTTGTGAATGTTGGGAACATGCTTCACACCTCTCAAAACTAAGGTGTTGCCATTCTCAGTCTCCAAGTGCACGTCCCATGCCAATTGTTAGTGTTATATACTGAAAACTTGACTTTGAATGATACTACATTTTTACCCTTTATGAATGAGAAACATGTTAGATTAAACAAGTTCTACGTTTTGTTGTTTTGCATTAGAAAGTGTGGGTCGTCATCAGGCGAACCGAAGATCATATTATCAGTTACTCGCGAAACAAGAATAATTGGTTCACAATCTAGATGGACATGAACACCCCATCAGAACGGTTGTAGTGTCAACTGTACATTTTGTCTTGACTGATTATTGCACTAGTACATTTATGTATTGAACATGATCCCAAAGAGGAGCAATTCATTTTATATTGATCGTCGTAAATGAACTAGGCCTCGGTTAATTACTGCGTGCTCTTAACCCGTAAGATATTAAACAAGCATATACGTGTAGTACTTATTACTTTGATTCACATGGGTGAGACTTAGTGAACTGGGCCAATAGACCCTCTGTCTTGGGTAATATTGCTACATGTAGGATGTGCTGTTAGGATATTTACGGTCACCATGTTTAGTTTGATGATATCCCCGGAGTGAGTTCATGAAGGATTGTTATGCTAAACCCTGCAGGTGGGTTAAATTCTGGCATAATATGAATGTGATGAACGAGCGCTAGCTTAGTTGAAATAATAATAAATTAATTAATTCTTGATTGTCAGTAATCTAATTAATTAATGGACATTATATCTTAAACATGGAGAGATAAATCGAGTAATTATTATTGGAGTCTCAAATGTAAGTTGGGCTAGGAAAAGGGAGTGCAATAATAAGGGAAAATTACACTTTGTCTACCGAACTATTCGCGTTTTTATACTTTGCCCACATAACTTTTTTCCGACGACACTTTACCCCTTGAACTTAAAAAATTCTTGCACTTACGACTTTCGGCCATCGGAGACGCAAAATCAAGGGCAAAATCGTCCTTTACACCTTAGGAGACACCTCAAACCAGTCTTCACGAGTACACTCTGCCTACCAAACTATTTGTATTTTTACACTTTGCCCTTGATTTTGCATCTTCGGTGGCCAGAAGTCATTAAGTGCAAGAATATTTGAAGTTCAAGGGGTAAAGTTTCACCGGAAAAAGTTAAGTGGGCAAAGTGTAAAAACGCGAATAGTTCAGTAGGTAAAGTGTAATTTTCCCTAATATTATGTTGGTTGCTCATTTAATATTATTTAATTAATTAGAATAAGTGGGCCCACCACAAGTATTTTAATTAATTAAGGAGCCATAATCCTAATCTCCTAAGGATCACTACGGTAGCTTTATATATACATCATTAAGCTCATTAGAAGAGAAGACAAGATCATTATTATTAATACACGCCCCATCGTGCGCCCCATCTCTCTCGCTCTCTCAGTTCCCAATCGAGCTTTATCTTCTTTTTGTTGTTCCACCGGTACAAGTTGAAGAGGGTGTTTGAGATATACAGTAGAAGATCAATAGTTGTTCGAGACCCAATTATCTTCTACATAAATTG